GTGGAGGTGGAGCCCCGGGGTGGAGGTGGAGCCCCTGGCAGGGCTGCCTTGGAGATGTCATCACATTATCACTTTTACACTCTTCGCCTTGGTTTTCACGCCTGCAGAAGGGGAGCCGTTGGCCTCTCCAGTCCTGAGTCTGTAAATGAGAGGGCAGGCATCTGGTCCCAAGGCCTGGGCGTGGGGGTGGGGGGTGTGGGGGGGTGGCATCCACACCTGCTTGTCAGGGGACCCTCCTGGAGTCCACGTCAGCAGCTCCACTTCTAGGGGAGCCTCAGGAAGTCTGTCACCTCCCTGCTGGAAGAGGGTAATTAGCTGTGCTAACAGCTTGGTGGTGGAGGCTGTTTGGGTGGCTGCCACCCAGGAGAAGGAGCCTCTCAGCTGGAAGGCGCTGCCGGTGGTGCAGCAGTGTCTGTCTCACCAGGCTGCGCACTTGGTGGCAGGCAGCGGGAGGAAGGGCAGTGGCGTGGGGGTAGCACCTCGTGGGCTTCAGGGAAGCTTCTGGAAGGAGTGAGGGTGAGACCGTTGCCAGCCCCTGCCCTCCACCGTGACTGCCTGGAACACAGGGTTCGGGAGGTGCGGGTGCCAACCCCCACCTCCCGTCTCCAGGCTGGTCTCCAGTGGCACCAGACTGCCCCGCAGGGCTCATCCCACACTGAGCCCCAGGTTCCCCACCCTGCGCAGGCTCCCCCTGCGGCCCCACCCCTGCTAGTGGCATATGTAGGGGTGGTGGGAGAACAGGACCGTCCAAGGCCTGAGAGCCAAGGCAGGGAGCCACCTGCAAGGCAGGAGCCCAGGGAACAGCAGCAGTGGGGGCCTGGAGTCCAGCGGGCAAGGGGGCAGCAGGCGCCTGGAGGGTCCCCTGAGGAGAAGCACTTTCCTGGGAGGTTGGGAGGAGGGGACTGGAGCCCTCCTGCAGGTGCAGAACTGGTGGCCCTTGTGGGACACAGAGTCATGCACTGCAACCCTGTCAGTCCTTTCATCTTCCCAAGGAGTTTTTCCTGAGTCATGTCTTATCATTAATTCATAATAATGATTATAATGATAGGGGGGCTGGGCGCCATAGCGCACATCTGCAATCCCAGCGGCTCAGGAGGCTGAGGCAGAAGGATTACAAGTTTGAGGCCAGCCTCAGCAACTTAGTGAGGCTGTAATCAACCTGGTGAGACCCTGTCTCAAAAAATAAAATAAAATGAAAAGGACTAGGGATGTGGTAAAGCACCCCTGGGTTCAATCCCTTGTGCCAAAAACAAACCAAAAAAGACTAACAGACACAGAGGAGTGAAATAATGCCCTCCAAGTCCCACAGTGAACAGTAATCTGAGGCTAAATCTTAAACTACCTTTTTGTACCATCTGGATGGCCACAATGTGTCCTCAGGTCCAAGTGGTCCAGGCCACTCGTAGGCTTCAGGGATATTGTCTTGGCCCCTGACCATGGGAGCTCGTGGTTAACATCCATAGACCCCCCATTAGCTTGTACCACCCACTGAAACCCACCCAACTCCTGGGTGAATATGATTTTGTCATCATCATCATTATTAAAGTTACTGGAGGGCGAGGACCTGGCCCCAGACTGCTTTGCTGAAGCTGTGAGCTTCATCCCCGTTGATTGTCTATCCCAGGTAGGAAGGGGCGGGGGGACTGGAGGCTGGCCTTGCTCTTTCTTGGTGGGCTGGGGGTGTTGAGCTGGGTGGTGCACAGTGAGGGAGAATTGGTTCTTGGTCCCCACAAGGCAGGGTCAGGCAGTCCTGGCAATGCCTAGCCAGTGGCGTTTGAACAGACACGGGAATGATGCAGGGTGGGAAAGGGAGTGCCCCAGAGAGTGGTGAGTGACCACAGAGCAGGTCAGGGCCAGAAGCCTCCTATGACCCGTGCACACGTGGCCATGCAAATGTCTCCACCCATGCCCACACGCACAGACAGCCACAGCAGCCGTCACAGGTGTGCACAGAGAGCACATCGTGCGTTCTCCACAACGTGTCTGAGCCTCCAGGCCTGCAGTGTGACCCCAGAGCCACCAGCCCCTGCCCTGGACATGCTGCTCAGAGACCTTCGGCCTCTTTCAGGCTCCAGGCCTGGGTTCAAGTCTCCCTGGTGCTCTTGCTCCTGGCCCTCCTGGTGTGGTCCTGTCCCCAGTGCAGCACCTAGGCCAGAGGACAGTCCTGGCCTCTCACTCCCACCATCCAGCCTGCCTTGGCCACCGGTGTCTTCCTGGCCTTGACATGCTCTGAAGGACAGGGAGTGGAGATGGCAGCTGAGAAGCGGGGGTCAGTCTCTGATGGCGAGTGAGAGTCACTGAGCCTCCCCGGGCCTCAGCCCCTCACCTGCCGCACAGGAGCTGGCTAGCACCAGCTGCTGGTCACTCCACCTGCTTCAGGCCCCGCCCACAGCCTGCCAGGTGGTTCCTGAGCACAGGGTCCTGGTCTGGGCACCCTTCCATGGGGGACCAGGCACAAGTGTCCTCCCTGGACCTCTGTCTCCTCGTCTTTACAGCCTGACACCTGATCAGGCAGAGGCCCTGCCAACACTAAGCTTCCGTGAGTCTGGGACCACACAGGGCCTCGGAGAGTTCCACAGTGATGGGCGGGTGGGGTGGGGAGGGGACCCTGAGCCCCCTGATCTCAGCCAGGGCAACCGCCTCGGTCTGCCCAGGGCTCCTGGTAAAGCCAGGTGTGCCGGGCACCACGCTTGCTCGAGGAGGTGGGGGATCGAGGAGGGGGTCTTGCTGGAGAGGGGAGGGGGCATAGGTGTGTACACGTTCTGTGGGGGGCGAGGGGCTGGCTTGCCTGAGTTCCCTGCACGCATGCGCTCTGGAGCCATTACCTGTTTGCACATCCGAGCACTGCGTCTTGTGCAGGTGTGCCCAGGCAGGCGTGGCTGTGGGGCGAGGCTTGTGGGGGCGTGGCTATGTAGGGGTGTGGCTGTGTGGGGCGAGGCTGTGGGGGCGTGGCTCCCCTGGGCTGGCACCTGCTGCGGCAGTCTTCTAAGCACCTTGTGGTGTCTCTCGCATAACCCTCAGACAGGGTTATGTGAGAGACACCAGACAGGTAGGTCCTGGGGTTTGAGGAAGCCGAGGCTCAGGGGAGGCACAGTCCAAGCCTGGCAGTCGGCATCTCCAGGGCCCCTGGGTCTCACACCAGGATCTGAAGCCCCGGCCACCGAGCCTGGCATCCTGGCCTGGGACTGCTTCTCCTGAAAGCAAGGGATGCCCTTTTCTAACTCGTTCCAAGAGTCACCCTGGCCAAGAGCACATCCCACCACCCCGACCTCACTTGGGCATGTGGCCTACGGGGTCCCTGGAATCACCCTCAGTACGTTTTAGTTTTGTTTGTCTGTTGTGGACAGGTTCCTGGTCCTTGCAACATTAGGCCCTGTCCCACCCAGGGGTCAGGGCTGCAGCACCCACAGGGCAGCCGCTACGTTGGCCGAGCCCTGCCTTTGAAATGCTTGGACCCTGTGTGTGTAGGATGCCTGTGGAGGTGCGGGCTGTGTGCAGGATTGCCCCCCCGGAGCCTGGGCTCTTCCCCCTCCCCAGGTTGCAGCCGCAGTAGCTCCTCTGGCTCTGCAGAGTGATTTTCTCCCTCCTATTTTTCATCTTGAAGGATGGCAAACTGGAGCACTTAATTTTCCTCCCGCAGCCCATTACCGTGGACGTGCTCGGCGCCCATGCGTGGCTGCGAAGGGAGGGTCATTTATATCAATTAGCAAAAGCAAACACGCTCATGGCTGTGAGCAAGCGTGGGTGGAGGCTGTCCTCGGAAGAGGGAGGCAGGGGGCAAACGCCTCGTTGCACGTGTCTGGCAGGCAGGGGACTCGGGCGTGCAGGGCTGTGTTGTGATGGTATTTTGGACAGGGTCCAGTCACCTCTCCTTCCTACAAGGTGCCCAGGTGGATGTGTCCAGGGAGTGAGAGAGTTCCCAGATGCAGCCGTCCCCACTGTTAGCCAGAGCTCTGCATCCATCACACACGGCCAGGCTGGAGGGCTGAGGCTGCTCCCCGCCTTGCGGGGCTGTGCCCATCCACCATCGTGGCCTCCTGGGCAATCGCAGCAGCTTCCTCCCTGGTCTCTGGTGTCTCTTGGGCCTCCGTAATCCATGCCCACCTCCTGCAACTAGAATGAGCTGTGAAATGTCAACCAAATCATGTTGGTTCATATGCCCTCCTGCTGAGACTCTCAATGGCTCCCTATTACTCTTAGAATAAAATCCAGCTCCCCATCCTGGCTCCCATTGCCTCTGTGGCTGACTTCTCCAGCTCATCTCCCCTGCCGCCTCCTCCTCCTCGCCCCCTGAGTCACACTGACCACCTGTTCCTCCAGCTCACGCTGCTCATCCCTGCCCCAGGCCCTTCGCCTGCTCTTCCCATCTCTTTTCCTGGCGGCTCTTTGCCATCCTTCATGTCTCAGTTTAAATGAACTCACCCGGCCAGGCCCAACTCTCTCTCCTCAGCTGCTGTTTATCTCTTTTACAAACCTAAGCATTTAGCCAGCACCTATTGTATACCAACCACTGTCCTATGTCCTGAAGTCTACATAGCAGGACAGAGGGGGGGAAATGTCCCTGCCTTCCTGGCACCACCCTGGCCTTCTGGGGGCTAGATGGGACGTAGGGGCCACCGCGGCCTCAGCGAACTTCCTGCCCCTGGTGACTCGGTGTGTTCCAGGAGGCGCACACAGAACGACGTGGGTGAGTCCTTCAGGGGAGCGAGGTCACAGCAGTGAGAGGAAGACATGTGAGGACTCGAGCCGCCGCAGAGGCCTGGCCGGGGCCCTGGACGACAGCCTTCCCACCTGCACCGGGGCTGTGTCCTGGTTTGGTTTGTTGTGACGCAGCTGAGGGGGTGGGGACGGGAGGCAGCAGGACTGGGAAGGAGCCGGAGGGCGATGGATCAAGGTGGGGCAGAAAATGTCAGGTGGTAACAGATGCCTGGACAGACAGGGCACGGAGGGGTGAGGCCTCAGTTAGACGGGGGGTGGGGGGGTGGGCTTCACCCAGGAGGCCCCACTGGAGCAACACCCCCAGGGTGCAGTCCGAGGGGCCAGGGGGACACCACACGGGGACTTCCAGGCAGAGGCAATGGCGAGGCCCCACTCCAGTGGCAGTGTGCACTGCTTTAGGGACACGGGCAGGCCACTGTGGCGGACTGGGAGCAGGGCAGAGGGGTGCGGGGCACTCGCTAGGTTCTTTCTGGGGATGAGGGAGCTCTTTGTAGGGGCAGTAAGTGCGGCAGGTGGGGAATGGAGGTGGGCAGGGCAGGATCAGGCAGGGCGGGGCCCTCAGCACCCCGCAGAACCGCTTCCTTTGTGTGTGTGTGTGTGTGTGTGTGTGTGTGTGTGTGTGCACGCGCGCGCGCACTCTGGGGGTGGTCAGCTTGTCCGATCTCGGATTCTTGGGGTTTTGAAAAGCCCTGCTGGACCTGCTCACAGGCCCTGACGGTGGGTGTCTGCACCCATGTCCACTCTGGAATTCACTCACTGCAGCCTGGAGAGCCTGGAATCCAGGTGGACCTGCTCGGGCGTGCCCCCACACCTCCTGGCTGGGTGTCTCTGGGCAGTGATGTTAACTTCTCTGGGCCTCGATTTCCTCACCTGTAATGAGTGCTTGCACCTCCTGGGCTCTTTGAGGTCCCAGGAGACGCGGGCCGCGTGGAGGACCTTACCAGGCACCGAGCAGGCCTCGGGCGCTCTGCGTCCTGCTCTTCCCCCTCCTCCCTGCCTTCCTCCCTCCTCTCCTCCGGCCTCCTGTCCTCACCCACCTGAGTACACTGCATTCCAAGAGAGCAGTGGCGTCCATCTGTCCTTTGCTTAGTGTCTGGCCCCTGCCCCGGGGCCTTGCTGCACAGGCAGCTCGTGGACATGTGCCCAGGGATGAGCCCCCCTGAGTTCTGAGCAGCTCTGGGGTGGGGCACATCACAGACTCCAGGAGCACAGATCAAAGGGGGCCACAGACGCATCTGCTGGGAACGGGCTCCAAACTCTGAGGCCAACAAAGGAACACCAATGAAATGTCTCGCGTTTGCAGCTCGTGTGTAAGATCTAGGTCGGGTTTATGGACCAGGGGGAGGTGTACTTTTATCTGCTGTGCGTGGCTTCTTATGACACGGGGTCCCCTGTGTAACCAATGTTCTGTCTTTTAGAAATATGCCCAGCAGCACATTTTTATCATTTTACTCTTTATGAAGATGCACCGAAGCGTCTCTCCCTGGGAGCGCTGGGGGTGCTCTGGGGACCTGGGCCAAGTGACAACTGGAGCCTTCTGATTTCACCAGCACTGCCAGGCCCTGGCCAGCCGACCCGGTGTGATCTCACCGAGGCCTTAGACCCTGTCCAGGCCGACCTTGAACCATTTCCATGTCATGCGTGGAAGGTCTGAGGTTCCCCTCAAGGTCGCCCAGATCTTAAGCTCACCCAGGCCTCGACCCGGGTGCAGCCAGGACTCCAAAGCCCAGGCCCTCGCCACCGTCTTGGCCTGATGAATGGTTCCCGAACAGCCTCCCGCACCCTGGACAGGTGGGCGAAGCAGTGGGAATAAAGGTCCTAACAAGCATCTTGGCTCACACATTGATTTAGTGTGGTTTTTGTGGTTCTGGAGAGTTCTATTTGAATCACTTTTGTGTACGTTTATTACACCAGGGAGACAAGGATGTTGTGTGAGGCTCGGGTATCATTTCGCTACTTTTAAATATATACGGAGGCTTAGAGCTGTGTCTTTGTGACCCATGGTGACATAACGTGGCCCTGTCTTCCATTAGTCTGGTACTAAGTCTTTGGTGAGGAAAGGCCCCAGGGAGGGCCTGGGTCGTGGGGTACCAGAGTGGCATTCTGATGATCCAGGGGAGTGGCGCCCGAGGGTGGGGCCCCCAGCTCCAGCCCCCCACCAGCTCAGCAGCCTGGGGTAGTCAACTGTCCCTTCCTGGAGTCTGGCAAAGCCCCGGGTGACTTTGCCCCAGATTGGGCCACACAAAGGCCACAGCCCCAGAGGAAGGGGCAAGCCACATGGGTGGCCAGGGTGGGGTGGGGAGTTTCCCTAGGACCCCAGGGAAGTGGGGCTGACATCTGTGCCCCTGAGGCAGCCTTGGCCCCAAAGGCTCCTGTCCCAGCTGGGCTCTGTGGCTGCTGCCAGGCAGCCTCCAACCAGCCTCCGTGGTCCTCCTGGAGGCTCAGAGGCCGGGTCCCCTCCACCTGTTGATGTCCGTGCAGCGCAGCCCAGGGGCTCTGGTGGCAGCAAGCTCGAGACTCTCTGCAGTGTCCTGCTTAGCGGGGAGCTGGGTCCCTGAGGGCTCAGGGTCACTCGTCAGGACAGAGCTGGGTGCAGCCGGGTGCAGGAAGACATGGTGGCTGTCACCAGCAGGTACAGGCCACTCTCTCTCCAGGGCTGCACCTGGAGCTGGTGCCCAAGGGGCAGTGGGGAGCGCCCCACCTGCCCCCCATGGGGGTTGCCTGAGCGGCCAGGTGAAGGCCAGGTGAAGGGAGGCGGAGGTCGGGCCTCAGCGGGAGGCACTGTCGCAGGCCTGCTGCATCCTGGAACCACAGGAAACTTGAGAGTGGGGCTGGCACCGCCCCCGCCATTGGCTCCCTCCAGAGCCACAGGGGCTTTCCCAGATGGCCAGGGCCAGAAAGGCCCGAGCCCACGTCCCAGCCGGAGTCCGGCCCTGAAATCCCCATCTGCTCAGGGGTTCACCCTTCTGTAGAGGACAGATTCCCTCCTTTGTCTTTCAAGGGAACCTAGCAGCCATGAGTCCCCACGGTCCCCAAGAGCACCCCCCCCGTTCTGTGGCCTGCAAAGCTGGCGGGTGGCCCACCCCATGGGACCCCTCGCCTCTGGCTGGGGTCGCCCTCCTCTGGGGGACCCCCAGCCCATGAGGGCTGGAGCCTGGGTTCGCCTGCTCCTTCCTGCTGGGTGACCTCGGCCTGCCTCTGCCTGGCCTCTGCTGCTGGCCACTCCCCAGCTGCTCCCACCTTCCCGTGGCGTAGCGAGGAGCCCCCAAGCTGAAGGGGAGAGGGAAGGCCCAGGGGAGAGGTCAGGCTGGTGGTTGTCACTCAGAGCCCCAAGAAGGGGACTGAGCTATTGTAGGTGTCTGGGCAAGGTGTGTCCTCCAGGTCACCTGACCACTGACCTCTTGGACATCGCATTGTTATTTTCTTCTCATGCCTACGTCACCATGCGGGTGTCCTCCTTGGCTGGTGGTGTAGAGAGGCTGGCCCTGTCCCGTCTGCCATTGTGCCTGCTGGAGCTGGGGTCTAACCCAGGGATGCAGTGAGCACCCACTGACCAGAAGAATCAGTGAATAGGGGGGGTGGGACACACACACACACTCGTGCCACACCCACCTGTCCACACTGGCGCACCTCTGTGTGGACACTCGCCCTCTTGTCTCCTCTCGGGTGTGGGACAATATAGAGGAGTGGGGACTGTGGCAAAGTGGGTGTCGTGGGCCCTGTTTGGAGGGGCAGCAGGACTTGGCTCCAGGGATCTTGGCCACGCCCAAACATGACCTCCATGTCCCAGATCTTCCTGTGCAGGAGAAGCCACAAGGGTGATGTTTTAAGGTGTGAACTTCATGGTTATGGACTGACCATAGAAAACACTCCTGGGGGAGGTCGGTCCATGGACCAGGGCTCATGCCTCTGAGGAGGGCAGCCGGGCCAGCAGCTGGCAAGGGCTCCGGACATTTGAGTGAGTCTCCCCTCCTGCCTACAATGGGAAGGGGACAGCGGGAGCAGATGGAAAGGCAGGAGGGGACAGGGAGATCGTAGAGGGTCGGTGTGGGAATTCTCCTGTGGTGCCCTGACCCGGGGTGTCCTGGGAGTCGTGGAGACAGTCGGGGGCCCATCCCAGGCAGCTCCGGCCCCACCACACCTTGTCCTGCACTCACATGTGAGGACCGAGGCCTGACCTGCTGTGGTCAGCTCAGAGGTCTGATGTGGACGCACTTGGCCGGACAGTAGCATCTTCTTACTGGAGCCTCTGTTCCCACTTTCTCTGAGGGTCGGGCGTTGCTGACCTTCACAAAGTGCCGTGTGTGGCCAGGCCACGTCATCTTGTCATTGTCATTTCCCAGCAGCGCAGGGGATGTTGACATCACGGTGACCTCACCGAGGGCCGGCCGAGGCGGGATTCAGACCCTGGGCTGTCGGCAAAGCCCTGAGCACCTCCTCCTCCAGCCCCCGTGACAGTGGCCGTGACCCTGAGCAGCTGCAGCCAGCGTCCACCCCGGCAGCTGAGCCCTCCTCAGTGGAGAGCCATGCTCCTGTGTCCAGGGACTCCGGGCGCCGCCACCCAGCCGGGCACCACCACCCAGCCGGGCACCACCACCCAGCCGGGCACCACCACCCAGCCGGGCACCGGTGATCCACGTCCCTGAGGGGGCGGAGCCTGGAGCGGCCCCTCCTCTCCCCACAGGGATTTCGTGGGGCGGTGGGGACAGCAGCCGTGGGGACAGGCCCTATTTAGAGAGGACCCGGCCCTCCTCAGTCCTCCACACAGTGTGGGAGAAGGCCACCTGAGCTGTCTCCAGCCCAACCCCATCTTGGCATCAGAGCCAGATGGCCAGGCCTGGGTGGGGTCCAGAAGCCGGGTTTGTATCGCCCCCAGCAGGGGCCTTGGGGGCTGTCCCGAGCCTGCTGTGCCCTGTGATTGTCCCCAAAGCGGAAGGTAGCAGACCCCAGTGTGGCTCAAGGTGAGGAGCCCTAGACGCTCCTCTTGTCCCTATTCTGTCCTGCTCGGCAGGGACGCTGGGAATTTGACCTCCGACACTTTGGGGCTGACCCCTCCCCTCTTCTGAAGCTTACAGCAGGGACCACAGGGTCCTCGGGCCCCCTCCCTCCAAGCTAGCAGGTGGTCAGCATCTGTCCTCCCGCCTGGACTGGCCGATCAGTCATGTGGTCGTCATGGAGATGCTCCTTGGTCCTTGGCCAGCTGTCCTCTGCTCCCTCTGTGCACTTGGGGACACGGGGTCACCCCACAGCTCCCTGCCGTCCCAGCAGCCCTGGCTGGGTTGCATGTGAGTGTGGCGGGGCCCCGGGGTGCACGGGATGGGGGGCTATGGCACCCCGAGGGCACGTCCCGCGGCTCAGCTTGGCCAGCTGTGAGGCACAGGGGCCCGTGGGCCCGCAGCCTTGGCTTTTGGAAGAGGGCAGCATTTTTACATGAATCTCCTGGTTTTTAAAACTGGCAAAACCCACTTAAAAGGCCCCATGGGAGCCAGACAGAAAGGCCCGAGGCCAGCGCTGGCCTTGTGCCCTCTCTGCTCAGAGCCCACCCACTGGGGACGCCGGCCACTCCCTGAGACTTAACTCAGTGTCCCTAAGGTTTCTGGGACTTACACAGGCCCCAGAAGGGACAGAGTCTCAGCCAGCTTGACAGGAACGTGGCCAGCCATCTTCTGAAGCGTCAAGGAGCAGGCGTGACCAACAGGGAAAGGCTCCTGTCCTCCTGCCCTGGGGTTCCAGCAGGGGGCCGGGAGAGGGGGGCCCTGAGCTGAGCTGGTGCCCCCCAGCCCCACCGGCGAAGCCCACCCTCTGCGCCACCAGCCCTGAAAGCTTCCTTCTGTTGGCCGTGTCCTTCCCCACGACCTCTGCCCACAGCTGGCCCCTCTGCCCTGCAGTGGTCTCAGCACAATGGGGCTCCCAGGACAGATGGTGGCCCCAGCCCCAGGCACGTCCCCCCTTTTACATGAAAATGGGGGAGACAGCAGTCAGATGTCCACCAAGCTGGTCTCCCCGAGCACCACGGCCCCAAGGCCACCACCCTGCCAGGTGGCGCAGCCCTGGACAAGCAGCCTCTGCCGGCCTCTCATTTCCCAGCCTCCGGCCCCGCCTGCCTCCTCCCGTCTATTCCCTCCCAGCATCCCAAGGCCACAGTGGGCACAGCTGGCACCTGGCTGTCTAGCAGCCTCGGATGTTAGAGTCTGTAAACAAGTCAGGATGGCGTCTGGCATTTTGCAGAGGGAGTGGTTTGTGAAGTGACGCCAGCGAGCCATTAAGTGTGGAGATTCCTGATTGGTTGACTGCTGTATCTAGTTTATGTTAATTAGATAAGCTGTGTGGAATGTATAAATACCCCTCCTGTCCTGCAATAAAGGGCTCCCACTCCTGCTGTATCCATCTACACAAGTTCCTCGTCACACCCCGGTTAGTTTGCTGCAGCCGGACTGCGGCAGATGGTGGCCCATATGGGGAGCCCCGGGACACTTGGGGGTAAGTGATGGGAAAAAAAAAGCTGCCTGTTTCTAGATAGGACGGGAGCAAATCTGCTTGTCCCTAGGCAGATATGGCGAGAGGAAAAATGGCCATTTTGAGAAAATGGAGAAAATTGATGCAGTATGTTTGTGTCTTGTTTTGTCTCAGCGTATTGTATTGTCTTTGTGATGAAAATATGGAAGGGGTGAAAAGTAAATTGATAAGGGAAGGAGGCACCCCAGTGGAACCAAGAGCAGTTAGGGCACGTGTTGATGGAAGCCCAGGAACTCTAGTCAGAAAGAAGAAAGTTCAGAGGAGGAAGGATTATCATGAAAAAAGTTGCAGCAAAAGGCTATTACTGAATACTTTTTGTTACCGGAGGGTTCCTGAATCAGTGCGGCGGCTGCCATGTGAGCGAGCAGGTCATGGTGCAGCAAGGGCTTTCCAAGCGGCGGCAGCCAGCTCTTCCCCGCCCCCCACCAGGCCCAAATCCAAACCTGTGCCTGGAAGCAGTTTGAGTCCGGGACACTCCCTGGGGCCATCTGGGGCTGCCCCGATGCTACAGCTGGCAAAAGACGCTACCAGGATCCCTGAAGTTTGATCGTTTCCAAGGCTAGTAACTTCTCCCACACCTGGAAGCTAATGAGTAATGAACACTATTAAGGCTTATGTCAAATGTAAAAAACCTTGAGATAATGTACTAAATTGTTCAGAAGGTTGTTTTCTTAGTGGAATGCTACAGGATTTTCTTTAGCCATCCGAAGTTCCTGCCTTCATCCCAGGATGGAAGAGTTTCCAGTGTTGCTGAGAACCGGAGGAGACTTCGGATCAAGCTAACTGCCTGCAGAAATTACCTGGACTGTGATTTAAGCTAGCTTCCTGCAGAACTTACCTGGACTATGATTTACCTGGACTATGAGTTAATCTATTGAGACACTGCTTTACCTGGACTGAGACAACAAACTGTAATCTACAACAAATTGTAACTTGGTATCTTTGCTAACGGTGTCATTGCTGGTATAATTTTTCCAAGGGCTTCTTGCATGAAGCCATCAATTGGCTTGGTATTGTGGCATTTTGTATCCTCACTTTCTGTTTGTAGCAGGTTATTTATGGTGTTTCTATAAAAACCACTATGGTCCTTATTTAAATTAAACAAAAGGGGGAAATGCTAGAGTCTGTAAACAAGTCAGGACGGCTGCAGGGTGGGAGGGTCCCTCCAGCCAGGTCTCCTCTGCCAGAACCCAGCGGCTCCTTCTCTGTGGCCAGCACAGGGCCAGGGCTAGGACTGGTCATGGTCCCCTGGGGAAGCCCTACCTGCTCCTGGCCCCTGAGGAGGAGGGGGAAGCCGATCCTCCTGCCGAGGTCCCGACTCTGTAGGGGAAGAGCAAAGAGCAGGAGCCGGGCTGCGGCCCTCAGGAGCCTCGGTCTCCTGTCTGCCAGCTGGGCCTGGAGGGGGACAGAGTCACCTGGGAGATCCGCTCCAGCCAAGTGTCCTGATGTCCAGCAGTGACCGGATGTCCCGGCCACTCCTCCAACACGGCCTCTCCCCACCCCGTCACTCTGGGGAATCCCGTCCTTGTTGATGTCTTTCTTCTCCACTTTCCCAGCAGAGCGCAGGCTGGAGCAGGGGCCCTGCCTGCAGAGTCCCCTGCTGGACCCAGGGCCTCCACGGCCAGGCCTGGCCCCCAGCACGTGGGCAGAGCTTTGTTAGAATGACTGAGGAGGAGGTGCGTGGGCACAGACAGGGGCCGTCCATGACCTTGGCCCTGCATGGGCTCCTCCCCTTGCTCCCCCATCACCAGCTCCAGCCACCTTGGCCTTGTTCCTGGGACACCTGGGGACACTCGAGCTGCAGCAGCTGCTCCTCGTGTCAGGTCACCTGTGCCTCCGCCAGGTCCCCACGTCAATCACCGCTCAGGCCACCCTGACCACCTTGTCTACAACCGCAAGCCCCCACCCCCCTTCCCTGCCCTCCTCTCCGCCTGTTGCTGTGTTTCTCCTCCGTGTCCAGCATCTTCATGCCCAGTGCCCTCTTTTGCTGATGGCTTCACTCCTGCAGGAAGGCAGGGCAGGGTCGGGTGGTGGGGTGGTTAGCTCCTGCAGCAGTAGGCGCTTAGTAAATGTGGACTCAATGAGGAGCCAATCCTGAGGCTTGAGGAAGGCGCACTCCCTGCAGCAGGATGGCGGACAGGGCCTCCTGGGGACCGGAGCTGGAGACGGTATTAGGGGAGTCAGAATCGTGATGGAAGAAAATTCCAGGTAGGACCAAGTCCTCACAACCAACTGGTGTTTCTGGGGCCTGGAGCAGGCGTTCCCCAGGCCACTCTTGTATTCTGCGTGTTTGATTCTCGTGTTTTCCAAGGTGCTTAGATCTCATGCAAGCTGGTGACGGTTCTTCAGCAATTAATTCCATGTTTTATTCATCTTCGAACGCTTTAAAGCTGCAAATCAAACTGGGTGCTGTGCTAACCACATTCTGCACTCCTGTGTCGCAAATAACCACGCTCTTTTGCATACCAAGCAGACCTTTCTGAGTCTCAGGAGAAACGGTCTTTCCTGGTGTTCATCGCTCTAATTACATCTGCAGCAACCAAATACGCTTCCACTCTGATTTGCATTATGCAAAATGTTCCTCGTCCCAGGCTTCCTGAATCACTGTGAACGATTCACGGCCTCGGGATGCCAGGAGAGGCACTGTTTGACCTGCCAATACATATACATTAGACTTATTGGGGGAAAATAAAGGAGTCTCGATCCTGTAAGCTATCAGGGAATGATCATCCAGGTGCATGTGCACCCTGTGAATTCACTACTTAGGAGAAGAACAAGGAGCTGACCAAGCCCTGCTGCCGAATGGATGTCCTTGGTGCCATGATCAGAAGAAGGAGGATGGGGGGCTTCTGCCTTGGGCAGCCTCCTGTGCTGTCCAGGGTGGGGCCAGCCAATCCCCACACCCCTGACCTGGGACAAGGGCTCTGGAAGGCCATGGGGAGTCAGGATGCCCAGGGTGTGGGGGAAGGCTGGCACTGTCCTCTGTTGGCTTGGAGACTCGGAGCAAGTGATTGACAGCAAAAGAAAACTCTGCTTTGTGGGACCTTTTGCTTCTACAGTTACAAAGGAGAAGAAGCCACAGGACTAGGGCTTCAGGGTCTCGTGAGTCGCGCCAGGAATCCACATGGGACTCCTTCTCTGCTCTGGGAAGCAACGGAGACAGGCCAGGCCAGGCCCTGCGCCCAGGGAGCTCAGAGGGCCCAGGCTAGGACGCAGCCTGAGCCTGGGTGAGTTCAAGCGTGGTCAGGAAGGTGCTCGCTGACCGTCTCACACCTTCCACTTCTCCCTGGATCTGCTGTTACCAAACCACCTACCTGTGATGGCAGGACCACCTTCCTGTGCCCAGGTCTCTCCCATTTGGCGAGTCGAAGCTATCATTTGCACACATCAGAGCTGTGTGTCATCTACAACCCTGCAGGGCCAGGGGGTGGCTGGTGGGCCCTTGGCACGGTCCTGGGCAACGCTCCCCTGGCACCCAGGATTCTGCGATCCACGGGTCTCTTCAGGATGCTGAGACCCAGGCACACCCCAACCCACCGTCTCCTGTTCTCTGTATTGGGATGGTCCCTGGGGTCGGATGATTACCCCGTGGACCACCCTCGTTGACACTGCCACCCTACCTGGAGAGACAGGGCATGTGCCCAGGGCACCCACCAGACGACGCTTCAGATCTCAGAGGTGGTATCACCCAGAAAGGTCCCATTCCGCCATCCCTTGTCAAAGCCAATGACTTGGGAGACGGAGTGACAGCGGAAGAGTTTTCTTGAGTGGCCAATCAATGGAGCAGGTGTTCGCGTGGCCCATCGACTTGTGAACTCTGGGAGTGGAGAGGTTACAGGACAGGTACGAGGGAGGGCAGGACAAGGGGAGGAGAGGGACAGGGAGAGACCCTCGGGCACTCGGTGCCACCTCTTTTTGCCGTTTTCATGGCCTGGTGTTTCTGCCACGGCCGCGGCCAGGTGTCTTTCGACCTGAGAGGGAAGGAGACTCGGCCCGTGCAGTGGAGGAACCCCGACCTCACGGTTCTGCACAGCACATTCCTCAAGCCCTCAGCACGTCCACACACACAGGCTGAGCAAGGCCGAGGCTGCAAGGAGAGGCCCAACAGGGAGGCCAAGCCTTCCCCGTTCCAGTGCCCAGGGGACACTGCAGGCACAAGGCAGTGTTTTCAGAAGTGGCCTTCAGGCCCCTGAAGAGCAAGTGAGGCAACAGTGACCCTCGTGACGCACACGCAGAGGTGCCAACTGCGGCAAAGCTGGTGGGGGCCAGTAACGTACTTCCCAGCTGGGTGACCCCCAAAAAGGTGAGACTAAGAGTCAAGTAAGAGTAGGTGAAGGCCGAGGGTCCATCTGGGCTCCCTCAGGGGCAGGGGAGGACGAGGAGATGGGCAGGGGGTCAGGCTGAGGAGAGTCAGGTGCCACGGGGCTTCTCCTCCCTCCATCACCCACCAGAGGACCCGCCCCGCCCCCAGGCTGCGTCCCCTCCACGTGCGTGTCTCTCTCTGTCTCTCTCTCTCTCTCTCACACACACACACACTTCCCCGGCCAAGGAGGTGACACTTAGCCAGGACCTGGAAGGTGACAAGGAGCCAGACACAGGCCTGGGGAGGGAGAGAGTGGGAAGGCCCCTGGGGGATGTGCCGGTGCCAGGGGAGCAGGGGACAGGTGGGTGACGAGGGCAGCAGATCACAGGGGCTGTGGAGGCCTCAGTGGGGAGCAGTGGGACGTCATTCAAACTGCAGGTGACACAGAGGCACAATCAGGTGACTGCAGAAGGCTCCCCTGGGGTGTCCAGCAGCAGGCCCTGGAGGGGCAGCCGTGGTCACCAGGACAAGAGAGGACAGAGGTGAGGACAGGGTGATGGAGCAGGTGCTAACCGTGGCAGGACTAGGATGTGCTGCCCACGGCCAGGGCCAGGGACCAGGACCCCAGGATGCAACCTCCCCAGGTCGGCACAGGGACGGGGGGACAGGAAGCTGGGGCCACTGTGTGGCTGGAGGAGGGCCCACGAGGGCGGGAGCTGAGGGTCACAGAGAGACGAGACCAGGGACAAGTCCTCCAGGACAAAGACGGAGCCCTGAGGGGACGGGGACAGTCCTGCCTCCCTGGAGCCACACTGGAAGTGCCACCTAGCAGTGTGGGCAGCTGGACAGGGAGACCCCACCGGTGGGACGGGCCTCCCTCCCCCCCAGCGCGGGCCTCGGGTGGCCTCTGTGCCAGGAGCCTGGCAGGAGGAGCAGGTGGTGGCCCTCAAGGAGGGAGCAGGGACAAGAGGTGAAGCGAGGGGCCAGGGACAAAGCCCCAGTCTACGTCACGACGGGGGCTCCATATCTGGGGCACACCGTGGGGCCAGGCAGGAGCACGGGGGACCAGAGCCAGCCGCTGGCCTGTGCAGGGCCTTCCGGCCACATGCTGCTCCTCACAGGGCCGCCATCTCCTGGGTGCAGACAGACCAGAGTCCCCTGTCCCATGAGCAGCAATGGGGACACCGGGCACCGCGGCTGCCTGGACACTCTGTCCTGGGCGGCTCCTGAGTCTGGCCGACAGGGCTCACAGGGCGGGGACAGGGGACTCTAACAGGGAGTGGGCTGGGCCAGGGAGACTTGTGAAAGTCACACACGTGCACATGAGGACACACACACGAATCCCACCCCCACAATCCATCCGACACACAGAGGACACAACCCGCACCCCTGGGGGGCTGCCCCTTGTCATCAAGACAGTTGATGGGGACAGAGGCAGGGGAGAAGACCAGAGTGAGTGGCCACAGGACGGCTGTGCTCCACGGAGGGGTCTGTCGGGGTCAGCTACCACTGACAGATTCACTGAGTGTTTCACCGGCGGCGGGCGCTTGCTGGGCACTAAGCACTGGAACACAGTCACGTCCCCAGGCCTCGCTGTGACCCTGGGGCCAAGCACTGTCGGTGATTCCCATTGTCCAGCTGAGGAGGCTGAGGCTCAGAGCAGCCCTGGACATACCCGAGGCCACGCAGCCAGCCGGCGGCAGAGCTGGACAGTGAACCAGGACCCTCTGACTCCTCGTGGTGCTGAGGTCACCTGGAGCCCTGTGGTGACAAGGCTGGGGACCAGGGCAGGTCTGTGGGGTGCAGGGGCCCAGGGCTGCGTGTCCTGCCTCTGCCACCCCCAGACCTGAGGGTGCCACCCGGGGACTGTGGGTGTCAGACCCCCAGGACTTGGGTCCTGCAGGGCCTGCTGCTGGAGGCCGTGGGTGGCCCTGGCAGAGCTCTGACCCAGACCCTTCCGCCTGCCCCAGGCCCCGTCCCCCTCTCCTGCCCCTGTCTGCAGTGGCCTCTCTGGGGCCCACCCCTGATTCCGCCCAATTAGCTCCTCCATGAAATCAGGTTATTGGGGAGCAGCCTCCTCACCCCTCTCCCTGGAGCTTTGAGGTGGAAACGCAGATAAATGCTCCTTGTAAAGTAAATGGATGCCATTTGTCCCCAGGGCCCAGCCTGTCAGGGTGGGCCTCCCTGTCACAACAGACTTTCCAGTCCCCTCCAAATGAGGCAGAGTCCCCTGGAGTCCCAGAGAACCTGTAGGACAGAAGGACCATGGCAGTGTCCCCTGAGCAGGTACGGGAGCCCAGCACTGGTCAGAGGCTTGAACAGCGTGCCCAGCACTTAGTAGGTGTTCAGTTAACACCATGCCCCGTCCCCACATGGCACTGGGACGGGGCCACTGCTCCCTGGTAGACCGGAGGCTGGAGTCCCCTCATGCCCTTGTGGCCCAGAGGCTCTGTGCCCGCCACCAGCACAGACCCAGCAGAGCACGGGAGGGTGAGTGGGTGGGAGGCTGGGTCCTGCAGCCTGGACCCCCGGCCATCCCCCAATGTCCACCTGCTCCAGGAAAACAGGTCCCCCTGAGGCCATTCCTGAATGTTCTGCAAAGAGCTGGGGGAGCCAAGGCCGGAGAGGAGCGGGGCGTCTGCAGGCCTGGGCTGGCCTCTGCGGCCTGTTCACCTGCTCTGCTCCGGTCCTGGACAGCTCTCGCCGCAGGGGTCTGAAGAGCTCCTGTCTCTCCCTCCAGCTCCAGTCAAGTAGGCATGGGGGGGGCATGGCAGTGACGGTGCATATGTGCTGGGCAGGGACTAGGTCCAGGGGGAGGGGCGCAGGCTGGCTCTGATGGAGAGAGGGGCAGCTGGAGGGAGGGACGGGAGGCTGAACCGGGGCGGCAGGCCTTGGCCACACTGTGGGGACTCGGACGGTCCCACCCTGGAAACTGGACCTGGAAAGTTCTGGAAGAGAAGTGTCAGGGGAAGCGGAAGGACGTGGCAGTGCCCTCCCCAGGCTGGGCAGAGGCTGGTGGGACTGCATCCTGGGAGCGGATGGACCAGGGCACTGGGCCCTCTGCTGAGGCCCTCAGGACTTCTGGGCGGGACAGAGGAAGAGCCCAGAGCTGCTGCCCCGAGAGGCAGAGGATCTGCGGCCAGGCCACCCTGTCCCCACGTACCCAGGGAGCTGCCCCTGGGACACCCAGACAGGACCTGGCACTGAGTCCAGAGCCAGAGGGCGAGGGCCATATCCCAGCCACTGTCCCCGAGAGACGACTGCAGCCTCAGGGACAGGAGGTGCAGCCTGTGAGGGCATCACAGCGGGCCTTTCCCCACTCCCCTGGGAAGGACCCAGGCTGAGGGCCAGGTCTGGGCAGGGGCCCACCCAGTCACTGGGGTCCCCAACAGGCTCCTCCCGCTCTGCCAGCCCATGTGGCCCTGGGTGTCCCTCACAGTCACAGGTAGACAACGTCCCATATCCATTCATTTGCCTGTTTGGCTACTATTCATCAAGGGACGGCCACGTCCCCAGCACTGCTGCAGGCCCCGCCCAGGGGAAGCTGTAACAGAGACGGAGCCTCATTGGGTCAGTCTTCCTGCTGGGGAGAGGAACAGCACCCCAACAGTTCAGCATCCTTCAAGGCACAGAGGAAAAATCAAACCAGGAAGAGTGGGGCACGGGCACAGGGCACGGGAGGGCTGCATGTCCCCCCTCTGAGATGGGGACTTGGGAACAGAGGGCTGAGAGTGGGGAGGACCCACGCAGATTCCTGGGAAGAGGGTCCCTGCAGAGAGCAGTTTGTGCAAGGTGGGGGCTGAAGACTTAGAGGGGCATGAGGAGACCAGGGCGGCTGGGCCGGAGCAAGGAGCCAGGGGCAGGGCGGGGTGGGGGGCAGGTGGGGTGCTGGCAGGGAGGCGGGGTCTTCAGCGTCGTGGAGTGAGACAGAAGCTCCGGGGGTTCTGAGCAGGGGCAGGACCTGCTGACCTCCATTCTCAGGGCGTCTCTCTGCACTGTCACCTTCCAGCCCTGTCCTTGGCTGCCCGTGGGGGTGGGGGTGACAGCTGGGGAGCTGCAGGAGACTGGAACATTCCGGTCAAACCATGGTGCTGCCTGGGCCTGGGGTGCTGGCAGCAGGGGGAGGTGGCCAGGCGGCAGCACGCAGAGCAGGGGAATGTGGGGCGGGAATGTGCTCCTCAGGAGCCCCCGCTACAGAGAAAAGATTTTCCCAGAATCCCCAGCACAGGGCTCCTGCGCCTCATTGGTCAGAAGGGGGTGGACATCCACCCCTCCCAGGCAAAGGGGCCGGATGCAGTGACTGGCTTAGAACCACCGAGGGTGGCCTCTGGCCCAGGGGTGAGTGGGCTTGTTCAGCAGGAGGAGGGCCTGAGGGGAGGGACCACCATCCTGGCCAGCGAGAGACCCCAGGACGCGGTTACCTTACCTGAGTGTCACCTGGTTTGTTCAGGAAAACGGGCTCCTGCCTCCGAGAGCCGTGGGAAAGCTGAAGTGAGAGAGGCCGGCAGGGCTCAGAGCAGTGCCCGGCGCTGCTGGAGGGCTCCGTCAGCGCTGACCAGCACTGTCCCTGTGTGCCAGGGGGACACCAGTCCACCCCTTTCTCAGCCTACTGGTGTCACATCCTCGTCACGCCAGTACTCCAGAATTCTCCTCTCACCCTGTCATGTGCCTGAGATCCTCCCCTGAGCCACTCATCTGCAGAGGGACCAGGGACGCCCTACTTTGTAGCTCATTAAAGGAACAGCTGTGGGGAAGAGAGGAAATATGTCACTTGACTCCACAGAAGTCATAAAACCCAGGTGGAAAGCATCTGCTGTGCTTACCTCCGCCTGGGAAGGAGGCCGCTCCTGGCTCATCTGCAGATGGGGTTGGCCTGGCCACGGATGCCCGGTGCTTCCCTCCTGGCCTCCACTGCCCTCTCCTAGTCCCAGTCAAAGCCCCAGGAGTGTTGTCCCGGGGACCCTCCACTGTGTCCTCGGGTGGAGATGACCCCAGCCAATCAGAGAATTGCGTTGTTCTCTTTCCTACCATGATTGGCTCACAGGGGGGCACCTGACTCAAGGCTACCCAATCAGACTCAGAGAGAGGTCAGCCCAAGCTTTTCACTGTGGGGTCAAGCTGGAATCAATAGTGGTTCTGGAGCCCAGGGCCCCGTGTCCAGACCCGCAGAGCCCGAGTCAACACAAAGATCATCAATTGAACTAAAAGAGGCTCGGGCTAATGTGGATGTCCAGGGTCCTGGAAGTAGCCGTGCTTGAAGCGAGACATCCTCTGCCTGGTCCTTTTAGCCAGAGCCAGTTGGAGTGACTTCCTGCCACTTGGAACCAAATGAGTCCTCACTGGTCACTCTCCAGCCCTGTCATTGTCTTGGTGACTGGCGGTTTCCACCAGGGGCCACTGGTCAGGAGCTCAGACTCGACACCAGGCGGCCTGGCTCCCCCACTTTGCACAAGATACTCAGCTGCCCGGTGCCTCGGTTTCCTCATCTGAAGAGGCGGGGTGATGGCAGCACCTACTCCAGGACCTGGGATGGAGTGCGTGAACGCGTCTAAAGCACGGAGCACACGCAGGCCCAGGGAACGGCTGTGTGTGTAAAGGATTCGGAGGAAGTTCCCAGAGAGGCCTCAGTCTTCATGAAGGTGGGAAGCAGATGGGCAGGGAGGAGCTGAGTGGACTGGGCCAGGCCAGGTCCTGTGGGGGGACCTCCTCACGGCCCCTCCTCCTCCAGGCAGGCGTGATGGAGGGAAATTTGGGGCGACTCATGTACCCCAGTAAGGTGGCGCTGGCTGGCCCCTTCCACGGGAACCTGAAGCCCAACACAGGGGTCAGGTGTGAAATGGACATAATAGCGTGTCACCTCCTCCCGTGGCTGGAGGGTTGAACCAGACAATCGACACGGGGTCCAGAAGTGGTGCTTGACCCTCTGTTAGCACAGGCCTGGGCAGGCCTGGGCACTGCTGTCCCTCCCTTGTTCAGACACAGTCTTAACTGTCATCTGGGGCGAGCTCAGTCTAGCAAATGAGTTCTTAGAGAACGAATCGGGCCACTCACCTCTCAAGTGGTGTGTTGGGCCCAGCTGCTGCCTGGCGTGGCTCAAGGTGCAGGGGAAAGACAGTGCGCAGGACGGTGAGACCTGCCCTCCCGGGAGGGACACCCAGAGCCAACCAACCAGGCCATGAAGAGGGACATACAGGTGGAGAGGGCGCCCCGAGACCACACAGGCTGAGTCAGGAGGTGACCCGGGCTGTCAGCAGGGTGCTCAGGAGCGAGAGCCATCTGTGGGACTGCCGGGCACAGGAGCCCGCAGGGCAAAGGCCCTGAGGTGGGACCCATCTGCAGTCGGAGGTCAGCAGCAGGCTGGAACTGGGGGACATGCAGAGTGATGGGCAGGCCCCTGGTCTCGCGAGGGTGGGCAGGCAGATGTGGCCCCAGGATGTCCCTAAACATCCCCTTCCCCGGCACTGTCCTTGGGGCTCAATCCAAGGCCGTTTTATGGCAAGTTGGGGAGCTGACCATTGAGGCTGAGAAGCCATTAACGTGGGCCTGGGCTCCACGGCCTTCCGGGAGCCATGAGGCAGGAGGAGGGGGGACGGGGCTGGGGACAGCGCGGAACCACGTCCACAGCCCCTTGGGGGGCCCGGGGAACCACAAACCCTCCCAGGCCAGAGGGGAAAGGCCCAGCTGGGGCCCGACGGTGGGGGCAGCCATCCTGACCTCCTCCTGGCCCCGGTCACCAGCAGCGGACTCTCTTCCCGAGAGGACTGTGCCTTGAAAGGAGGGTGATTTCAGGGGACGTGAGTGAAGCCGATGTTGATGTCCCCGGATCCTGAGTTCCTGACCCAACCTGAACCAGAGGTGGAGCACGGGATTGTCATGTAGGCGTGCCAGGCCGAGGGGACTCTAGGTTCCCGTGTCCCTCAGGAGAGACCAGCTCCTTGGTGTCTCTGGGTCTCGGCTTCCCATCTGGAAGGTGGAGCGATGGCTCTTCCTAGCTCACGGCCTGTGGCCATTCGTTCAGTTAACTAATTCCACAAGTATTTCCTGAGCACCTACTGCGTGCCAGTCCCTGTTGCGGGCACCGACAGTGGGAGCTCTTCTCCACTGAGCGCCGACGGCCCGCCAGGCTCTGCCACCAGAGCCTCCCTGCTGCCCTCTGTGGGCCGCCCATGGACCCTCGAGCCCAGGGCTGCTCTGAGGCTCAGAGTGGGGGAGAGCCCGCCCAGGGCCACACAGCTGGGCAGGAGCAGAGCTGGGATTTGACCTGGGCAGCCTGCCCGGGGGCCACTCCACCCGCCTCCCACCGGCTTCTCCTGGCAGCTGCCTCGGTGCCGGGCAGGGGCCGTCCTGAGCCCCGTCTGACGCACGGGGACACTGAGGCTCCAGGGGCCAGCAGCTGTCCAGTGCTGCACAGTGATTATCCCTTGGTTCTTCCTTCCGTGGGACCAGGGTGTCCTGTCGTTTTCCCTGAAGCCACTCCAAGGAACACGATCCTGGGGCAGAATTTCCTGTGGGCTCACCTGCCACTGTTCCTAAGGGAGTCCCACCTGGTGACCGTGCTGAGGTCACCTGAGTCTCTGTCCTGGCTCAGGTGCTAAATGTCTGCAAAACGCCTTCCAGCCCTGCTCGGGAGACCTCCTCTCAAGGAAGATTCTGGAAATTCATTCACAGGACTAACAGCAGCACACTGTGGCACATCTGCCCCCTGCCCCCTGCCCCCTGCCCCCACCCATCAGTCCGTCTCTTCGTCCGTCCACTCATTCAACCAGTGCGTGGGGCGGTCTGGGGTCTTCGGTGGTGAGAGATGAGTCTGTCGAGGCAGACTGAAGCCACATGCAGGTTGGTGACCCTATTTAAAAAAAAATAAAAACAGTCGCTAAGATCCAGGTGGGATTCCACTCCCCAGCCTGCGCCTCTCTGGCTCAGACCCAGACTCTCCCAGGACCTGTCACCGCCCGTCCTCGGAGCTCCTGGGATGACAGCAGATGGGGTGGGCTGGCTGATGGAGGGTGGGGTGGGGAGGGACGGGGCCTGCGTCCCCAGCGCACGGTGCCCCCCCCCCCACTGCCCTCTCAGGGCCATCTGTCAGGCCCCACCCTCCATCTGACCCTCTCCTCACCAGGAAAGGCCGGGCAGCCTTCCTGCCACCTGTGGCCCTGCAGAGGAGTGACGGGGCCCCATGGGGGCCTGCTCTGTCTTCCCTGCTGCGAGGGCTCCCTGGTGGGAGGTGCTCCGAGCCCAGCCTCTGGGGCTGCAGGCCCCTGTGCACTTGGCCTGGCCCCAGCCAGGGGGTCCCAGCCTGGATCCCACGTGGGGCAGACAGAACAGCTCTGGGAGGCAGCAGGGGACAGACCCTGGGAAGATGCACTCGTCCTGCAGGACCGAGCCGAGAAGCTGCCGACTCCACAGGCCACCAGGGTGTGCACCTCTGCCACGTGGAAGCCCTCCACGCCTGAGGACAGCCGGAGACAGAACCCGAGGGTTGGCACAGGGAGTCTGGCGCGTCACCCACTGCCGGAGGGTGTCCACGGTGTGGCCACGTTGGAACACAGAATTACCAAGCGCTCCAGCAAGTCCACTCCCAGACACATCCCCAAGAGGAACAAAAACACATCCACACACAGCCTCCTCACTCACGCCCAAGGCCGCGCCGCTCAAACAGCCCGACCTGGACGCACCCCCACGTCCATGGACAGATGAGCGGATAACGTGGTATGTGGATAACGTGGTACATGGGCTGGGGACGTGGATCAGTGGCAGAGCACTTGCTTGGCAGGAGTGACCACCTGGGATTCATCCCCAGAACCAGGAAAAAAAAAAGTGGTCAGAGTCCACGTGTCCAGTGGAAGGTGAGTCCACCCTGCACCACTCGGTGCTGCAAAGTGAGCAGAGTCTGAAAACAGAGGAAAAGCAGCCAGGCACGAAAGGTGACACTTACAGGAAAAAAAAGTATAGGCAGATCCACAGGGGTCCCCAAGGCTGGGGAAAAGGACAGGACGTGGCTGCCCACGGGGCCGAGGGAGGCCTGCCGTCCGTGCCGTACCTGAGCATCTGTCCAATGCCAGGCACGTAATAGGTCCTCAGCCGACACCTGGGGGTAAATGGTGTCCCAGGCATCAGGGTGACCAGGAAGGAGCCCAGCAGCCTGCGGGCGGAGAAGCTCTGCTGTGTGACCTGGGCAAACACCACCCACTCACCGGGCGCAGCTGGAGAGACTCTTGGCAAGACGAGCAGAAGCCTGATTTAATTGACTTAAATAACCTCTAGCAGGAGCCTCTCTTTGTAAAAGTGCTGGAGAGAAGAACCTAATGTCCCTCTAATTATCGCCACTTTGCAGGTGCGGAATGTGAGGCTCCCGCTCCTGCACAGACCTGCTCGGTCACACGTGGGGGAGGGAGAAGCTGCACTTTATCTGTCCACCCACCTCTTGTTTCAGTCACGCGTCCACTCCGTCCGTGTCTAGGGCTGATTCACCAAGACCTTCAGATCCTGAGCTCCACATCTAGCCAGGATGAAGCATCGGGTCCTGTGACCTCTTTGAGGACTGCATCTCCCAGAGTCCCCGTGTCCCCCACCCGGTGCCCTGATTTTTGAGGGATGTTTCGAGGGCCGCTCCTTGGCTGACTGATGCTGGGGAGACCAGGGAAGCACCTGGGGGCAGGAGGCATGTGTGGGGCGGCTGCAGGGCGCAGAGGTCTCCCGGGACGCCAGGTGATGCAGAGGGAGATGGTGGGACAGAGCCGCCGGAACCTTCACACAGCAGGTCAGGCCTCAACCGGTACGAGGTGCTGCAATCACTCATTAAGTAAGCGTGGCTCCAGATGAGAGCTGTGATTGCCGTCCCCATCCCTGCGGGTGCAGGCATGGCGGGCGATGTTATCTCAGAGCTGGGCCCTGCTCCCTCCTGGGAACGGTCCTTCTGCGTCTGGGGCCTCAGGGGCCCCTTGGCTGGAGTTTTCGGTTTCACAACCTTCATTCTTCCCTGTTTCCAAAGACGGAGGGATGGAGCTTACCCTGGGTGTTTGACAGCAGCCCTGTGGGAGGGACAATGGGACAGGAGAGGTGGTCACCTGGGGCGGCACCTAGACCTAATGAAGGACTCCAAGGCCTTCAGAGGCTTCAAAAGGAAAAAAAAAAAAGTTCAGGATCCAAGCCACTCGATTTGAGCGGCCTGGCCAAGCCGGGTGATAGCGACAGGCAGACACCCTGCTGGCCCTCCACGGGGCGGCCCCTGCTCCCCCTGCCGCGGGGGCTCTCAGCCCCAGGCCTCGGTGGTGCCAGGAGCGATCCCCGACGGCTGCCCGAGGGGCCCCTGCTCAGGCCCTTCCCAAGGGTGGAGCCCTGGGAAGGTCCCTCTGCCCCTCTGCGCCTCTGGAAATCGGGCCCTCGGTGTGCCTCCAGGGCTGTTCCGCAGGCCGAGTGAGTGAGTGACTCGGCCACACAGAGAACTGGCCACCTCGTAGGTCAAGCCTGGTCAAGCTGCTGCTGGGAATGATGGCGGGGCCTGATCTGTGGACGCAGCCGTGTTTCCAGAGTGGACAACCACTGACCACGGAAGGCGACAAGCCCCTGGGCTGCACCCAGAGGTGGCAGGGGAGGCTGGGCCAAGGGCACCGCGCTCCTTACTGGCCTCCTTCTGCCGTGGGGTGAGCAACGGGTCGCGCTGATTGGCTGGTTCTGGGTCGTGGTGTGGCGTCACCCTTGCCACTCAATCTGAGTGACAGTCAGAAGGGGCGTTTCCTAGGCGTGCGCAGAAGGCAGGCGCTGGGCGCACGGAGCGAGTCAACAGGCTCTTCGTCCCATCGAGTGTCACTTGGACCCTTGGGCCCTTATCTGTCGCTGAGAAGGGGGACCCTGGCCAGATTGGAAGATCAAGTCCCCACGGTGTGAAAGGAGAACGGGCAGCGCCAGTCCCCAGACCTGGGTTGAGATTGAGGCAGGAAGGCCCTGACCTTAGAGAAAAAGGCCACAGCACAGCAGGCGCTCTGCCCGCCCTTCCCGAGGTCCCCACTCGGTGGAGCCTGCAGGGGCTGTGGGAGGAGCTTACCACCTGGGCGGGGCCTCCGTGTTTTCCAGACCAGCTCCTGGCTTTGTCCTTCCCTGTGCACCTGCCGTACTTTGATTCATTGAATACTTTTTATTTGCGTCCATGTCGGTGATTTCCTGATATCACATGTATTTAAAAGAAATATCTACTTGCCAGGGACCAGGGGAGAGGCAACGAGGAGTCCCCACTGTGTCCCCAGGGACACAGTGGCAGCCTGGGAGTTAAAAACATGCCGGTGTGCTTGGTGGATGGTCCCCGGGCTGCCCCCCAACTCGCCACCGAAAAATGGTCACAATGGCAAATTGCACGTATATATTTTACCACAATAAAAAAATGTTAACTCGAAAGGAAGACACACAAATGTCACCATTAGAACATAGAAAAATCAGCACCCATTTCTCTCAATAGATCAAGAGAGTACAAACAAAACCAATGAAAATGAAACACAGTCGGTTGAGCCTGTCACTGTCCCCCACAGAGCACACTGAGCCTGAAGTGACCTCTTATTTTCCCCATGAGCATTAGCGAAAACTAGGAAATCGATTAAGGTAAGTTAACAGGACCCCAGGGCTCTCTCCTGGAAAACCAAGGGGCCCAGGAGGACTGACTTGGGAGGAGCCTTCCCTGGGGGAGTGGAGGCTGCCCTACTGCAGCCTCCACCCAGCCCCAGGTCACCGGTCACTCCCCACCCCCCAGAAGTTTTCCATGTCTTTCCTGCAATTCCAAGGAGGAGCTGAGTGCTAGGTTGGCGAGAAGCAGAGGACAGAATGCTGGCCCTTCCCTCCTTCTTCCTCTCTCATCCTAATGGCTGGCCTGGGCGGTTTTCATTTGGGTTTTATTTGACAAAAGAGATCTGTTGCTTTAAAATATGTTTGGAAACTATTGCTGCAGATCCTGGAAGGAGGATGCTCCAGCTCTGGGATTCCGGGCTCCGGGAACTCTGAGCCTCCTTCTGTTTCTCTGTGCTGTGACTTGTTTTGCAGACCCCAGGTTTCCTTGCCCCAAATCCACTTTCCTTCCTTCTTGTAATGAATCCCTTTTTCCTTGGTGAGGAAAACCCTCCCCTACTCTCTGTGCCTGCAGTTTTGCGGGTTCAGAGATGGGCATGTGGCCTGGACCTGGCCAATTAGAAGTCTGAATCCCCTGACCATAGCGATTGCCTAAAATATGAGCACCTGACCCAATGAAAGTTACCAAAGACCACGTCTCCGCTGTCAGCTGAAGACGACTGTGGTTGAGAAGTTGGTGTTGAGTTAGAGCATCTGGTGGCCACCTTACTATCGTGAACAACATCTGCTCTACAAGGTAATGAAACCAGATGGAGGCAGAGTTGAAAGATGGACAAAGAGAACCAGATGGCGATGTCCTTTTAGTTCCTGGATCCAGCCATACCTGAAGCTGAAATCCCCCCCCTGCTCAGATCCTTGGTTTGCTTAATCCAACTCTACATGGGTTTCCTGTCACTTACAAGAATCCTGATTGATACAACCTGCATAAGAACCCCACCTTAATGTTACTATTTAACACATGATCTTTCAAACACTAAGTACGAAACACTGACCCTGGAGAAGACTTGATTTTCAAGTCTTTGGTGGGCAGATATTTTTTTCCTTCAGC